GCCTGACCCAAGCCATGGTATTTTCAATACCTCATATACATGTGAAAGCTGGACAGTGAATAAGGAAGACCATAGAACTGATATACCTGAGTTATGGTGTTGGAGGAGAAAATTGTAAGTACCATGGACTGCCAGAAGAACAAACATTTCTATGTTGGAAGAAGTATAGCCAGAATGCTCATTAGAAGGCAGGAGACCAGACTTCGTCTCTCATACTTTGGACATGTTATCAGTCCCTGGAGAATGACATCATGTTTGGTAAAGTGAGGGGTCGGAGAAAAAGAGGAAGACCCCCAACGAGATGGACTGGCACAGTGGCAGCAGCAACAGGTTCAGTGTAGGAACAATTGTGAGGTTGGAGGAGGACCGGGCAGAGTTTCATTCTGTTGTGCATAAGGTCGCTGGGAGTCGGTACCAACTCTGTAGCACCTAACAACAACAACCTCCTTTGCTTTTTGCAGATGACTTGAATATCTGCTTCAACACAAAGGTCTGGGGGCACAGTTGAAGTCCCTGGTATCAACTACCTCTTACTAAAGCACTGCTTTGGCAAACATCCTCCCTCTAACTGAAAATGTACCATCCTAAGTTATCCTGCCCACCGGGTCACCCCATCCATGCTCAGGTGGTTGCATTACCGCCATCCTAAGTCACCTGCAGGCAGGTGAGTGAGCAGCTCTGGAACAAACTGGATTTGAGTTCAGATTCCAGCTAGTTTGCGTGACTGCAGACCAGTTATTTCGCTTCTCAAAAAGGCATGTTACACTTTGAGTTGCTTTTCATAGATGAAGACAAGCGAGTACAGCCTACAAGGCTTGGGCAGTGGCCAAAGGGGACGCCACTTCCAGGTGGTGGTTGACTGGGGCCCCACCTGTGGTACGTGGTTCTCCCCGGTGAGCTGCACGCTGCACGTCATGGCATCTCAGGAGGCAGGTAAGGATTCTGGTCTCCAAGGCTGGCTCACAGGCATGTGATAGGCAGCCTGTGAATCACCTTACACAACTGAAGACCTTCAGCCATCTACCGCCGGCCCTTCCTTATTAAAAACATTTATCAAAATTTTGTGGGTTTTGAGGAAACAAGTGTAAATTGTCATAATTTGATGAAGTTGACCTATACTTCTGGATGTAGTAACTCAAAATACAACTGAAAGGGAAGGAGTCTTCACATCAAGTATCAATCCTATCCCCTCTGTATACAGGGTTGATAGGACTTGGAACTTAGACACTGCTACCTGAAATTGGGGGCCAGGGGGAGCTATAAAGGCAGGAAGTGTCTGGCTTACAAATTTTCAAGAAGGAGTTTAGTTTCCGAGTGTTCAGGGGAAGTAGAGTCCCCACTGAATAGTTTTCATCTTGTCTAGATGGGTCTGGTGAAAAGAGATGGGGATAAGATTCTTATGATTCAGTAGTGAGTAATTGTTATAACAAATTGTGACTGTCACAATTGTAAAGGTAGAAGTTTTATAACAAAAACGGGGGAGTGGTTAATCTTACAGTCCAGAAACAGAGGACCCTAGGACCATCAAGGGAGAAGAACATGAGTGGAATGTGGGACCCAAACCAGAGAAACAGTGACACCAGAGATGGAGGCAGAGATGGGGACATGGAGAGATAGAGCAGCTGAGGACTCTAGATTCATGGAAAGAGAAAGGATGTGTGGTGGCAGCCAGGAGGCAGGCTTGCAGAATGTGCCCTTTGGTTGTTTAAATGATTATATATTCCTGAGTGTTTTTGTGTACATCCATCCCCCCAACAAAAAAACCCCCCAGAAAAACCCAGAGAGAATAGAAGTAATGCATGGAAGAGATGGTAATCATTGCAATAAAACAATGAGTGTAAAACCGATGTTCTCTCATGTAAACTATCACTCAATTCACAATAAAAACTTAAAAAAAAAAATTGTGGTTTTGGAAAACTTTTACTGTGATTTGGATGAAAGTTTACAGAGCAAATTGCTTTCCAACTCTACAATTCATACACACTTTTTGTTTTCTAATGTTGATTGTAATCCCCACAATGCAACAGCACTCTTCCCTCCTCCTTCCTGCATTTCCCATTTCCCTTCATCCTTTGCAATCCCTTTCTGGCTTCTGAGCTTTCTCCCTGGGCACTGCTGCCCTTGGAGCTCGTAGGGTTGACTGTTCTGAGTGGGTATCTCCCTGGTGTTATTGTTTACCTTATGCTGTTGGTAAGTGCTGCTGAGTCGGTTCTGTTAAGTCGGTTCCAACTCATAGCGACCCTGCATAGGGTTTCCAAGGAGCGGCTGGTGAGTTTGAACCCCTGATCTTGTAGTTCAAACTGATCTTGCAGTCCAATATTTATCCCATAGCGCCACAGGCCCAGTCTATAGTCTATTGTGTGGCTCCAATTTGAGCCATGGGCTTGTTGCTTCTTTGGATGTCAGCATTGTTGGGAGTCCAGCGAGAAAACGGTCTTTGGAAGATGAACTGTGTGGTGAGAGGGACCTAGGGGGCCAGGGCCAGCTGCTTGGACAGCACAGCCGAAAAAGCTGAGAACTTGGGCCACACTGCTGCCTGCAAAGGAGCAGGGGGGCAGACACTGTCTTTTTGCCCACTTCCAGGACCCATAGACAGCTGGCACAGATACCAGGAGTAAGCGGCCTAGACGAGGATACAGTGTGAAGGCCTTTTTCATTCTTGATAAGGACGATCCCATGGGCCCCACATGGATAGTGCAGAGCTGTGCCCAGAGCGATCAAATCTGGAGTACGGTGACTTCTTCGTCCCTCCACTAGGACGCCCCTCCTGCACGTGCACACCAGAAAGGACCGGTTAGCAGGTCACCACAGTAGCAGTAGCCTGTGAAATGACCGGATCAGTGATCATGCTCCGAGCAGCTCCAGTTCTCCTTGCCGCTTGACCTCCTCCCCGCCTGCCCACCCTGAGTGCACAGAGCCCGGCAAGGGAGACAAGGCACCTAGCCAGCCAATCAGGGCAGACATACCATGGGGTATATGGCCAAGCCCCAGGGCACTGAGCCGGGGTGGGGAGGGAAAGGGGCAGCTGCTGCTGGTTGGCAGGATGGCCGTATGCCTGTGTGCAACTAATTTGCATTGTTCCAGGGAATCTGCAGAGCCCTGGTGGTACAGTGTCAAAAGTTCAAACCCCACCAGCTACTCAACAGGAGAAAGATGAAACTGCTTTTGGAATGATGTGCAGCCTTGGAAACCCGAGGGTACTCTGCTCTATGGAGTTGCTGACTCCATGGCAGTTGTTTATGAAGCAATTCAAGCAAAATGAGGAAACAGCTTTCAGAACCTGAAGAGGAACTGCCCTCCCCTCACTCAGATCCAGGGTGCAAAAGCTCATGTCTTGGGTTTTGTTTTTCCTTGAGTGGCCACAGCCAGGTTTCAGGGTTCCAGGTGAAGAAACTGAGCTTGGTCACCGGCTGTGAACCGAGTCTACATGTCAGCAGCACCTGTCTACCATCACCAGTTACTGCACAGGTGCAGCTGGTCCCCTCACCTCCTTGCTCGGGTCCATGCTGGGTGGAACTTAAATGGAATTTATGATCTTGCAAGATTGCAAACAACATGAAGCAGCTGCCTATCAGGTCCTGGTGTGGTACTGTAGGGTCAGCACTGGACAACATCAGTTCAAACCCACAAGGCCACTAGGAGTCAACAATCACACACAAAAAACCCCTGCATACCAGAGAGAACTTTTCCAGTCTACTTTTTTAATTGATTTATCCCACTGTCTCCTTGTGGAGGACCCATGAGTTGTCAGCGTCCTAACAGTGTGAAAGCCTCACCCGGACACCCCAACTGCACCCTCCCCGAGTGAGCAGGGGCTGAGACCACCTTGTTTGGGAGAAATGGTACAACCTTGGTGTGGGCACTGGAGGTGAGAGCTAAGAGAATGGTTTCCAGTGGACCTCGAGCAAGAGGCAGGCTTTGCCTTGGTCTTGGACACCGCCCCTTACCCCCCCAGTGCTGCTGAGAAAGGCCCAATCTACACTACCCAGCCCCCCTGAGGCACACTTGGGTGCTCAACAAAGCCTCCTCCAGAGGAGTATGAAATCAATGCACCTCCATAGAGGTGTGGTGAGGAGGGTGAGTGGATTCCACATGACCCATGTAGGGGGTGGGGGAGACTGATGGGGGAGAGGCAAACCCACAACACATGAAGCTGTCAGAGGAGACAGTACAGAGCATTCTGAACACAGGTTAGCTAAGAAACATACAACATTCATTTTGAATCTTATACAAATGACTTGTAAAACAATGGCACCCTTAATCCTCTGTCCAATCACACAGGGAGTCTGACCCCATCCAAGCACTGGTCACACTAACATGGACCCAGTCACCAGATCCAGAACGGACACTCGGCCTTCCTCCTTACTCACGTCTCCCCTTCTCACCGTGGCAAGGCAAGAATCAATAAAGCAACCCCAAACCCCATCCCCCACCCCCCAAAAAAAACAATGAAAAGAAAGATCGACTGAGTCCCAGTGACTGGCAGCTGACCGCTGCCCCGAGTCAAGCGGAGATGTCCTGTCCGCAGTCTTCTCGTTCACGTCCCTCTTTCCGAAGGCACTGAGCGCATGCGCAGACAGGCGGGGCCGTCACTCCAGGGCAGCCAGCTGCTCAATGGCGGAGCGCACCCTCTTGGCACTTTCTTCAAACTCTTTCTGCTTATTACTCGTTTCCTTTACCTGGAGATACAGAAGAGGTGGATGAAACGGAAGCATGAGCTCTCAAATCCCACCTTGGAGATTGCTGGCAAGTGACAAGAGTCAGTTCCGACTCATAGCAACCCTGCTGAGGGTCTCCCAGGAGCAGCTGGTGGGTTTGAACCGCCGACCTTGTGGTTCACAGTTCAGTGCTGATCCTACAGCACCGCACAGGACTCTATCTTGTAGAGAAGAATTTTCAAAACAGAAAAGTTTTAATAAGATGGTGAGGAGGGGGAAGGAATGTCTGGGGACACCCAAAGGGACTGGGGACACCCAAAGGGACTGGGGCCCTGTGATCAGACACCAGGATGAAGGAGCCAAAGGGTGGAGGGTGTAATGGGTGCAGACCAGTGTCTGGACAACTGGGCGGCCCTTCTAACCACCACTGCCGGGCTCAGGATTAGCCTGCCTTTCCTCCCCTCACCCCTGCAATTAGACCTTCTCCAGCGGCTTGAAGCCTTCCTTCCAATGGAGCAAATGCCTCCCCAGATGATTCTCCTCCCCTGGGCTTCTCTGCCCCAAGAAAACACGGACGAAGGTTCTTTCTTGGGTGAAACGTTTCCTGAGAAAAGCAATGCCGTCGATACCACTGAGTCTGTTCTGACTCCCAGTGACCCAGCGCAGGGTTTCTGAGGAGCCTCAACAGCCCAAGGCTGATTGCTCAGAGGCAGAGGTCAGACAGGCCTCCTCTCTCCAACCTTCTTACCAATTCTGACCCCAGCCAACCCTCGTGACACTCCCGGCCTCTCAGCTGGGTTGAGAAGTCATTGTAATGACCTCACAGAGCTCACAGACCTGACTCACGATGATGGGGTTTATTAGGGACGTTTGCTGTTGAGTGCCAGGAAGTCAGTTCTGACTCATAACGACCCTGGATAGGGTTTCCATGGAGCAGTGTGAGTCTGAGCACTCATCCTACAGCGCCACACAAGGACTCCAGCGGGGAACAAACAGGTTACAATTCAGGATCAGGAAGGACTCAGCCCTTCCAACAGCCCGGCCTCTTCTCCGCCACGCCCACAGGCACGGTGGGCCTCTCTGGCCTCGGCCCTGCTGCAAAAACCCAAACACAGCGCCATCGAGTCGGTTCCTGAGGCTGTAATCTTTAAGGTGCAAAACGCCTTCTCCTTCTTTCTCCTGCAGAGCGGCTGGTGGGTTTGAGGTTAGTCTATGGCTCATACTACAGCATCACCAAGCGCCTTTCCTTGCGGCTTGGCAAGGGTTAACTCTTTAACTCTGCTAATGGGAGTCTGAGGGGACCTCACTCCCCCAGGAAGCCTCCTGTCCAAAGGTGCTCAGCTCTCTGGCTCTGTGGTTCCCTGGTTCCGCAGTCACCATTTCTGTGCCGCTGCTTTGTGGCACCTTTGGTATTACGGCTCAGTCTGTGGTTTTACCGCCGTCTCCTGAGTGCAGGAGACTCTCAGCAGAGGGCGCCCAGGTCCAAAGGATATGTGCGCTCTTGTTTCCTCTGGTGGTCCTGAGGTTCCCCCTCTCTGCCTCCAGGATGGCTCATTTTCATCCTAACGCGATGGCAAATCTGGTGGTCCTCACCAGGGCTCCACCCACACGTCTTCCAGTGGCTCATCTGACCCCCATCTTGGGCATTTACAACGCAGTCGTCAGTAACAGTTTTTACCTGTTTCTTCCTAGAGCTGATTTATTCACCGATTGTTGTCCTTAACGGCTGTCGAATCAGTTCCGACTCTCAGTGAGCCTGCGTAGGGTTTCCCAGGAGTGGCTGGTGCATTTGAAGTGCCGGCCTTGCAGTTGGCAGTACATACCAGCACTCCATTTTCCGAGCAGGAGTAATGTATTTCATGTTTTCAAGGACAGAGGCATCCAAACCAAGAAAGAAATCCAAAGGGCCCTCAGGACAGACCTGGCTGGTGAGGTGAAGCACTCCCAGGCTGGTCCCTGGACACCTGCTCTCCACACCACACCATGGAGTTCCCTCCTCTCCAGCATTGAGACTGTAAGCATCCAGCTACGAGAGGAGAAACAAGAGAGCGCGCCACGGCAGACAGCTCTCCTTGGCGTCTCTATCCATATACCAACCACAGCAGACAGAGCTGCTCCCATAGCAATTCCACAGTGGGGTGATGACGTCATTACAGAACGGTCAAATCCCTGAGAATCAGGGCCCAGCCAAGCTGGCATATCATTTCTAGGGGGACAGAATTGCATCCAGGACACACCACTGCTAACTCACAACGCACACTGTGCACACAGATTCCCGTCGGTCACACTGTCTTCACGGAGGCCAGGAAGGCTAGCGGGACCGCCTTCTGGTCCCCACCCAAGGTAGCCCTTGGCGCCCAGCTCACGCTGGACACACACTCACTGAGTGACCGTGGTTTTTCGGTCCCTTTGTGCCCTCACATGTAGGTGACAGAGGCTGACAATGCTCCTCAGTCAGAACAGCCACCACCTAGGAGGCTCGAGGGACGGGGAGGGTTTGTGGTCAGTTCTGACCAATGATACGTACAATTTTGTTCTTGGCTCGCTCTTTGTCCAGCTTCAAAAATTCACTGAGCGTCAGGTCTTCAAACTGCTTCTTGACGGTTAGGAAAGCGCAGCCAGATGAATGCTTTTCGTGTTCCTCTCTGGAAAGTCAACATGGACGCGTGTTAGCAGAGCGGAGCCAGGGACCAGAAGAAAGGTGACCGTGTGCCACCATCACCCAGCACCCAGCTCCTGCCTCCAACCACACTCAGCACTTCCCGGCACCTGTTCCCTCTCCCCCACGTCTTTGTCGTGAATCATTTCTTCTCAAGCCCTATCACTTAGAAGGCCCGGGTTACTGCACATCAAATCCCTCTAAACCCCAGGGAACTGTTTAAAGAACTTCATTTTGCTTCTGTTGTGGCATCACCTACTAGCTGGGAAGAAGGATGGGATAGGCTGGGCCTTCCCCGAGAACACCTCTACATCAAAACATCATTCTCTACAGTGGGCACTGTTCCTGAACCCCAAAAAATATCCGAATGTTTCATCTTGTCTAGACGGGTCTGGTGAAAAGAGATGGGGACAAAATATTTTTTTGGGGGGAAGCAGGTGGTAGGTTCAAACCAATGACCTTGCAGTTCGCAGTCCAATGTTTATCCTACAGAAACACCAAGCTCCCCAAACAATATATGTTGTTGTTGTTGTTGTTAAGTGCCGTTGAGTCAGTTCTGACCTATAGTGACCCTGTATAGGGTTTCCAAGGAACGGCTGTGCTTGAACCACTGACCTTGCAGATCAAACCAACTTTTCAGGCAAGTGCATTAGCCCACAGCACCCACCACGTACCTTTACTCTTTTCCATATCTCTTTGCTAAGGAAGAACTTACACACAATCTTGAGAGTGGTCCTGCAGGCTGGAGTTGCGCATGTGTATCTACACACCCGCACGGCCACTGCCCAGATCAAGATGCAGGGCGTTTCCAGCTTCTAAGGGTTCCTTTGTGCCCTCCTCAGTCATGAACTGCCAGAGTTTTGTTTTGTTTTGTTTTTTTTCCTAGTGTTATAAGCCATCTTTATTTAAATAGTTACAGTACCATATGCTAATCACAAGAATACGTAAGTGTTTCATTTATGGATAAATACAGGGTGGCTATGAGTCAGAACTGACTCAACAGCATTTGACAACAACAACAACA